TTCTGTGATATTTCCTGGTACCTGAGTTCAGCTCCGGGTCAAGATGGCTTCTCATTTCAAAATGGAGTCACCCAAGCTAACTTAAACTCTTCATCAGGTCTTCACAACCTCCTGTAACTCCAGCTCCAGATGACCTGATGCTTCCAGCCTCCAGCCAGCTGCACTAACATGCACATACCCACACTCAGACACACAATTAAAAATAAATTAATATTGAAAAGAATTGGAAATTTCACAGCAACACTAGCAGAAGGATGGATATAGCACAAGATCTTCAAAATTAGAATGAGTCAGTGAAATAAATAGTAATAGAAATAAATGCTAGTCCAATATTAATTAAGAATTTTTAAAAGTAACTTGTTACATTTCAGAAGTATTTGTTAGTGTACTAGCTAGGTTATTGTCAACTAGAATCACCTGAGAGGAAAAAAAAAAAAAACCCTAGCTGAGAAAAGGCCTCCCTAAGATCAACCTGTGGGCAAGTTTGTGAGGCTACTTCTTGGTTAGTGATGGGTGTGGGAAAACCTGGTTCATTGTGAATGGTCCCACGCTTAGACAGGTAGCCCAAGGCGTACAAGAAAATGACTCAAACTATCAAGAATAAGAGTCCCAAACAGTGAGTGCGGAGTTAAGGGATGATAAAGAAATAAAGAAGACAAAAGCAAAAGCTAGTATGGAGAAGTCTTGTATAAGCTGATGACTTACGCCAAGCAAGTCTATTAAGCAGCAGAGCTTCTTATATACTACTTACAGGGGGAAAATTGCCAAGGTCAGCAGAAAGCTAAAGCAGACAGTGTAGGCAAAGAGAACACAGGATGCCTCAGACACAGCATTAGGACTGATAACCGCAGCCCAGGGCGAAAGAGTCAGATCCCCGAAACTGTAACTCTGCCTCCTTTGAGGTCCTGGCCCCAGCCCCAGACTGGATCTTTCTAAGTCGGTCCCTGTACAAGAACACAGAACTACTATTCTCTTTGTCCTTTCTTGGGGCCTCTAGAAAGCCTTGGATTGATGGGGTTCTCAACAAGAGAAAAGGCCAGGGGGAGCAGGCCAGTAAGCAGTGTTCCTGCCAGACTTTCCTTGGTGATAGGGTGTGATCTAAAGGTTGTAAGGTGAAATAAACCCTATTCTACCCAAGTTGCGTTTAGTCATGATGTCCTATCTCAATAAAAGAAAGCTAATTAAAGCATTTAGATTAGGATTACATCTTGGATTACAGGCAATCGAATAATACAATAAATTATAGGATGTAACATCTAAATGGTATACATTTGTGCTTGGGTAGAATGCCCTATAAAATCTTGCCATAGTTTGAATAAAAGTTATCAAAGGGCACTATGTTTTTATTATAAAATTTTAATATGGGAAGTAGAAAAATTATCAACCTCTAAATTCCCACCACTCAGACTGAACAGTTTTCAAGATCTTGTCACATCTCTTTTCTTTGTTAAACCATCTTAACTTCCAACATGTCATTTTGCTTTTACCTCTCAAATAGGCATTCATTAAATGATATCATGCCAATCAGAACTAAAGGTAGTTTTCTAAAATGAGCATCATCAAACTTCCAAAATTGAGTTACAGATGTCATTTTACAGTTGACTTTCTCTAACTAGCATTTAACAAGTATGTAATCCACTCATTACAAATGTGATTGATTTCTTCAGATTATTTATATTAAAGAACATCTTAGCTGGCCGTGGTAACACCCACCTGTAATCCCAGCACTCAGGGAGGCAGAGGCAGGCAAATTTCTGTGAGTTTGAGGCCAGCCTGGTCTACAAAGAGAGTCCAGGACAGCCAAAGCTACACAAAGAAACTCTGTCTTGAAAAAACAACAATAATAATGTACATCTTTACATTAGTGTAATTCATTTGTCACAGCTAACAAACCAAGGGTGAACCACTGTTAGCAACTAAAGTCTAGATTTGGTTCAGATTTCCATATCTTTTATTCAGTGACCCCTCTATTTTTTTGTTTGTTTGTTTCTTGAAACAGTTTCTCTGTGTAGCCCTGACTGTCCTAGAACTCACTCTATACACCAGGCTGGCCTCAAACTCAGAGATCTACCTGCCTTTGCTTCCTGAGTGCTGGGATTAAAGGTTTGTGGAACTCCAGTGCCCCTTTTGTTGATGTTCCAGAATTTTATGTTAGACTTTCATGTCTCCTTGGACTCCTCTTTCCCCTGGCTGTTTCTCAGACTTTCCTTGTTGGTAGTGACCTTGACACATGAAAAAGCTTCCTTGTTTCTTTTAAGCTGTCTGCCATTGAGAGTTAGGAGTTCTCTGGTAGAATTTTGAGGGTCACTTATGTATACTATCATATCATCTTCAATTGGTGATGCTTTGACTTCTTCCTTTCCGATTTGTATCCCTTTGATCTTATTTAGTTGTCTTATTGCTGTAGCTAGAACTTCAAGTACTATATTGAAGAGATACAGAGAATAGACAACCTTGTCTTGTTCCTGTTTCAGTGGACTTGCTTTAAGTTTCTCTCCATTTAATTTGATGTTAGCTATAGGCTTGTTGTATAATAAAACCAGAATAGCTAAAACAATCCTATAAAATAAAAGAACTTCTGGAAGTATAGTATCATTATCCCTGATTTCAAGCTGTATTACAGAGAAATAGTGATAAAAACTGTGTGGTACTGGCATAGAAACAGACTGATTGGTCTTTAGAATTGAATTGAAGACCCAGTAATAAATCCACACACCTATGGACACTTGATTTTTGACAAAGAAGCCCAGTGTTTTTCTTTTGGTTGAACTGAGGTTGTTGATTTGGAAAGGCAATGCCATTCTTATTGTCTCACGTCAATAAATATAACACAGGAAGCAAGATACTTTCAACGTCATTGTTGACATTAACCTTGCCCATATAATCTGAGAAATCAGTTCATTTTACCACTGTAAAGTATCCATTCCTTTTCCCCATCATACTTTGTCTTTGGAAGGTTGCCATTATGGGAAGCCCCAATTAATAAATGGAAAGTTACATCAAACTGAACTGTGGCTATAGCTTTAGCTCTTGGGAGCTATTTGGATCTCTGTGGGTTGACATATTACATGATTTTTTTTCTTTTTATTATTTTTTTTACACTTTATTCACTTTGTGTCCCCCCATAAGCCCCTCCTTCCTCCCCTCCCAATCCCACCCTCCCTCCCCCTTCTTCACACATGCCCCTCCCCAAGTCCACTGATAGGGGAGGTCCTCCTCTCCTTCCTTCTGATCTTAGTCTATCAGATCACCTCAGGAGTGGCTGCATTGTCATCTTCTGTGGCCTGGTAAGACTGCTCCCCCCTCAGGGGGAGGTGATCAAAGAGCAGGCCAATCAGATTGTGTCAGAGGCAGTCCCTCTTCGCATTACTATGTAACCCACTTAGACACTAAATTGCCATGGATTACTTATTACATGATTTTTAAAAATACTTTCTGTTGTCTAAAGTGGGAGATGTGGCTCAGCAGTTAAGAGCACGCATTGCTCTTCTGGGAAACTCTGGTTCTGTTCCCAACATCCACTTATCAGCTTGTGACTGTCTGTAACTCCAGTTCTAGGGAATTTAACTCTCTTTTGGCCTCTGCAGGCACTGGGCACACACATGGTACACAAACATGCATGCAGACAAAACATCCATACACATGAAAAAACGAACTCTAAAATTTTCTAAACGTTCTTATTTCCTATGGCTGCAAACTCATAATCCCTGCTGGAACCCTAGAAGCAAATATTTCTCCCAGCCCTGATCCCATAACTGGAGAATGGTGTCAGAAACCACAGTCTTGGTTGCTGAGTGTGCTGGTTCTGGTTGGAGTGTCATTGGTTCTAAGCCTTCTAACTAATACATATATCTGTATTTGTGTGTGTACCCTTGCAGAATGCATGCGTTGTCACTCAGAACCCTATAAACTCTCACTGGTACCTGCAGCCTAATCCATTATCACACAGAGTTCCCACTGTCCCCATCACTTGTCTGATCCCCCTTTCCTGCACTGCAAATAAACGAGACATTGAAGAGACCCAGCAGAGAATTGTACAACTACAAGTTTGGGGTCTTACAGTGGAGAGTAACAATTTGATTTCAGCTTTGTAGTGATCTTCATTTCTAGTTTTAATCACAAAGGTCATAAACAGGTAGGATTTTTTGGGGAACGGGGGCTTAGGATCAGGGTTACTGAGTACCTACTATGTGCAAACTGCTAAGAACATATTGGTCGCCTCATTTTAATCCCTAACCAATTTGCCTGGTAGATGTTTGTGCTAGTAGATTTCCTTCACTGTAGGAAATACTGGAAACAATGAACTTGAAAAGACAAAAGGTTTATTCTGGCTCCCTGGCTTGGAGATCACAGTCCATGACTTATTCCCTTCCTTACTTGGGATAAGGCAGCACTTCGTGGCAAGAAGCAAAAGACCAGCTGTGGCTACACCATCTCCTTCAAAGGTGTAGCTCTAATGTCCTGAGACCTCACTCTTAACCCTACCTGCTAAAGGCTCACCATTTCCCAACAGCACCACCATGGGGAGCAAATGTTTACTAATGTACCTTTGGGGAACTTAGGATCCATACATAACAACCTCCTTTTTTTTGTCTCATTATAGACAAGAAGCCCAACTCTCTCAGAAAAATGTTCGTTCAATATTAAAAGAAACGTATAAAGTATAACATACATAATGTAGGTTACAAAAAGAAACGTCCATTAATGTAAAAGCTCTTTGGTGTTGCAATTTTCATCTTTTTTTTTTTTTTCTCTGAAAAGTTTAGGCTTATTTTGTGGGTGCTTTTATTTTGTTTAGGTGCTTAGGGTAGGACCCAGGGCTGGCTGCATGCACTCTGGGCAAGTGCTCCATGACTGAGCTACCCTGCCTCGGCACATGTGGTGGTTTAGTAATAGTCCTGTCCAAAGGCAGAGGAAACAGATGGCCCAAGTTTAAATCATGCAGTAGCATTTGGTATTTTATTATCTCAGATGTACCCGTATTTGTCTTCTTTTCCCAGGTGGACAATATCAATGCAGCCGTGATGGATTTGAAGAAAAAGAAGATCCGTAGTCTGACTGATGAGGCCAAAATAGGAGCACATGGGAAACCCGTCATTTTCCTCCATCCCAAAGACTGTGGTGGAGTCCTTGTAGAACTGGAGCAAGCATGATTTATAATCGCAAGAAACTTACTTAACTGACCTGAAAAACCCTTATCAACACAATCAGATGTATTATGCTACTGCTTTTGCCACTTTAAAACTTTTAATTAATTACAGAGAGAGAAAAATATATGTACATGTGTATACTTATATGTATGTGTTATTTGAATTTGGAGGAAATCTTAATTACCAAATACTTGGCATTGTTAAAATCATATCCATAGGCACTGCATCCTTCCTGTCCTTCTCACATCTCTCAGATCTCTCCCACATCCTTCTCCAGGGTCTAGCCCAGGGTCTAGCCCTCTTCTTCCCCATTCATACCATCTCAACCCACCAGATCCAGCCCAATTCCCACATCAAGTGCAGCTTCGTCAGGCCTTCTCTGCCTGCCCTCCCACTGATCTCTAGGCTTCTTGACCCTCCTACCTAGCCCCCAACTCACAGGCCCTTTCTACACTACGTCCAATCTTTGTACCCAGCCAGTGTACCCCCACACCCCTAGCACATCCCATATCACCCCAATCACCTTAGTCCACCTGATCTTGTTACACCCAAACCCACTTCCAATATCTAGGGCAAACTCCTCCCCCAATGCCCTCTTTTCTGCTTGAGCCTGCTTATTAGATTTACAGTGAACCAAGAAAGCCACATGTCCAAATCCCATCACAGAAATACCAACAGTATAAAAGATCTAGCCAATATCTTCTCTCTGTAACCTGCCAGCCCTGTAGAAATGTGTGCCAATGAGACATAAGGTGAACCATAAGACACACAACTTAAACGAACAATCAAACTTCATTAGAAAATGAAGTTAAGGAGTTTAAAGAAGCTACAGAATTAAAGAGAAACAACATAAGGAGAATAAAAACCTGATTGATGCTCAAGAAAATACAAAAATAAGGCTGATGGAAATGGCAAAGACAATCCAGGACCTAAGAATAGAATTCAATAAGGAAATAGAATCATTGAAGAGGATTCAAGGTGAAATGAAGGTGGAATTGAAAAACCCAATAACTTAACTAAAAAAATTCAAAGGAAAGCCATACAAGTAGAATGAGTCAATCAGAACATAGAATATCAGGACTTAAAAATAAAATAGAGGATCAACACCAAATAGACAAGGAATATGAGCACTTTACAAACAAACAAAACAGGAAAGAAGCACACAGGAAATGGGACATCATAAAAAGCCAAACCTTTGAATTACAGACATGGACAAGAGAGAATAATCCCAAGCCAATGGCATAGGCTAGATCTTCAACAAGATCATAGAAGAAATCATCTTCAAGCTAAGGAAAGACACATTCATACAGGGACCAGAAGCACACAGAAAACTGAATACACAAGCCAAGAAAAGATCCCCACAGTATATTCTAGTTAAAATGTTAAATATACATAAAATATATTGAAAGCTGCAAGAAAAACAAAATAAGTCACATCTAAAGAAAAACTCATCAGAATAATAGCTGATTCCTCAATGAACACTGGGAAAGTCAGAAGGGTCTGGAGCAATGCCTCCCAAGTACTAAAGACTGTATGACTGCCTACCTACACTAATATATCCAGCAAAACTATCTGTCATAATTGAAGGGGAAAATATTTTCCACAATATAAACAGCCTTTTAAAAGGTATATATAATACACCAAGCCTAAAGAAAATATGGGAAACAATATTTCAGACTGAAGAGAGGAATAAGCACAGCAAGAGACCGTGGGGAAAAATGGAGCATTAATTATTAAAACACAAAGTAGCACTGAGAAGAACATGAAAAGTCAACACAATTGACCACAATTAACACACACACTTCAATAATAATTTTAAATATCAGCTTTAATTTTCCATTCAAAAAACACAGGCTGACTGGATGAATCAAGAAACAAAATCCATCTATTGTTTATAAGAGAGAGAGAAAAGCAAACACCTCTTAGCTTTAAAGATAAGCACTTTCTTAGAGTAAAAGGATAGACAAAAGTACTCCAAACGGGACCAGGAAGCAAACAGGCATTGTAATCTAATATCAAACAAAACAGACTTTGAAATAAAACTAATCAGAAGAGATAAAGGGAGACATTTCATTCTAATAAAGGGAACAGTTATCCAAGAAGACATTACTGTCCTAAACATATATGCACCAAATTCAGGGGTGCCCAATAGCATTAAAAAAAAGTACTACTGGATTTAAGGACACATAGTAACATCAGTCCATTAATAGTAGGTAATTTCAGTACTCTACCTTCTCCAGTAGACAGGTCATCTGGTCAAAAAATAGAAAAACTTCAGAGCTAATTGACCCTGTATAGCAAACAGACTTAACAGATACCTACAGAATATTATCCCACCTAAACCCAAAGGATATGTGCTCTACTCAACAACACACAGAACCTTCTCTGAAATAGACCACATCCTGGGACACAAATCAAATCTTTACAAATTCAGAGATTAAAATCACTCTATATCCCACCTGATCACAATGAAATAAAACTTAAATTGGCAGCAAAGAAACCTCTAGTAAATGTACAAAATCATGACTGTTAAACAGTTCATTGCTGAATGATGAATGGGACAAAGAGAAAAATCAAGAAACAATTTCCTGAATCTATGTGAAAATGAAAACATGATAAAACCTCTGGCACATGTCAACAAATGACCCAATTGAACCCACCATAAGAAACTCGCTTAAAATATATGATATATTAATGGTTAACAGTGAAGAGCAGAAGAATAGCTGTCATGTAAATGCATGTCCAAAGAAAAATGGAGTGGCTGTTCAATTCCCACAGAGCAAACAAAATGCCAGGAAGAGAAAGGTTCATTATGTAATAGTGTAGAAAGCTCCAACCATAAGAAGACAAATAGTAAAATTATGTATACTAGATGATACAACTAGAAACACAGAACTCAGAATTGATACAACAAAAAGATTAATGTAACCTTAATGATCCCTTCTAAACCCCAAACAAAGTAAACAACCCTATAAAGAACTGAACCTTACCACCTACAGATGCTGAGCATGCTTGTCTTTGTCCACATGAGGGGTATTATATCTGCTACCGTCAAACAACACATACAGAATTAGTGAAAGCCTGGAGAACATGTCCTAGACACAACTGAGTCAAGCCAGATTAGTTGCAGACAACAGCAACTCTCCAATAACTTACACATTGAGATAAAGTAAGTCTCGTGAAGACATGAAAGTGAAAATGCAGCAATTATTTTATAAAATCCATAAGTGAACACATAAATTTCTCCTTTATAGGAGGAGCAGAATTTAGGAACAATATGCACAAAATGCTGTGTGTGCAGGTTGTGTGGCCTCCCAGCACCCATCAGTCTTCTTGGTCTTATTAGATACCCAGCCTTATTCCCACCTACACAGGCAAAGCCTCAGGAAATCCTCTCAGCTGAACTTACATTCCGTCGTTCCTGCCGATGGTGGAATTCAGATCAGATCATCCATACCTGGACAAAGCAGGAAAGAAAGTTCCCTAGAAGCATCTGGAAATGTTCTCTTATGACTCGGGAGCAAGAAGGTGAAAGCTGGAAGAAGTTACCCTCTCAAAGCAAAGGTGAACAGGGAGAAAGACATCTAGGGTTGCTACTAACAACCGTCCAACAACCGTGAAAAAAGAAATGCCTTTAGAGTAAAGATTCTTGTTTACAGGTTAATGTGGAAAAGTTCACATTTAAGAATGTATTTAGTATTGAATAGAAAATTCATTTTGTTATATTTGCGGGATGTTTAAAATTAAGAAAAAAAATTCCTAATAACATTATTTCTTAAAATGCTAATTATCCAATACATTTACATAATTTTAAAAAGCTTGGTTGGGATTCTTTGAGCATTAAAAATAAGATGAGCAAAATAATTACTCCTTAATAAGCACCTTAGCCATATGTGTCTATGTTCGCTCATTCTTACTTTTTTTTTTTCTGAAAATTTTTTCAAAATAGTAATATAATTTTAAAAATAAAAGGTTTATATTTCTGTTCCTAATAACAGTGTCTGGTTAACATGTTGGAAACTGTTGAAATCTAAATAACTGACTCTTTCTATATATACCATATACTTTTTCTTTTCAAACAGACTCTACATTCCAAGGCAATGTTGGGTTTACAGCAAAACTGGGCAGAAAGGAATGTTCTAGCCTCTGCTCTGCAGGATGGCCTCACCACTGCCAGCCTCGCCCCAAAGAGGATTACATTCCTCACACCTAACCGTGCGATGCTACAGCAGCGGCACCAGCAGTCTCGTCAGGTCTGTGTGCTGCATGTTGTATGCTCTGGACATATGTATGGAGACGTGTACAGCCCACTAACGCATACAGCAAAGCCCATGCCTGAAACTACTCTGCTGTGTCTGTCCAGTTCCTGCCCCAAGATCCCATGATCCACTGGTTTAGCTTTTCCTTCTTTCTTCCTTCCTTCCCTCCCTCCCTTCCTCCTTCTCTTCCCTTGTGGAGAGTTTCATTTCTCTTCCTGTCTATTTGGTGTTCTGTCTGTACGCCTTTAGATTTGGAAAATTTTATGGTTTTTTTTTTAAAATATTTTCTGTGCTATTGACCTGAGTTTCTTTTCCTTTATTTCTAGGTTTCTTATTTTCATGGTGTTCCAGATTTCCTGGTTGTTTTGTGCCTGAATTTTTTTTTATGAATTTATCATTTTCTTTGACTGGAATATTTATTTTTTTTCTATTTTGTCTTTGATACCTGAGATTCTGTCTTCCATGTCTTATAATCTGTTGGTGAGACAGACTTCTCAGGTTTTTGTTTGACACCCTATGTTTTTTATTTCCATTTTTATTCAGGTTGGGTTTTCTTTAGTGGTTCTATTCTTTTGTGAAGTTCTCTTTTCACATTTTGAATTGTTTACATTGTTTTATTTATCTGTTTTTTCACAGACTTCATTAGGGGATTTATTCATATCCTCTATAAGGTCCTTGAACAAATTCATCGTTGCTATTTTGAGTCCTTGTCTTGTGCTTCAGCTAAATTGCTTTTCTCAGGATCCATTGCAGTAGGGTTCCTAGATTCTAGAGGAAGCATATTGCCTTATTTGTTCATGTTTGGTTGGTCCATTTTTCGTTTGTTCAGCTTTTTGGTTCTCAAGTTATACTGGCATCACTGAGTCCTTCATTTCACAACAAAAA